AAAAAGCAACGATGTTATTGTCCGATATTCCTGGATGGACACAGACATCGGACACCAGTGTTGGATTTGATGCAAGAAGAAGATCAAGTGTATTCTCAGATACAGGGCGGTTAACTTCATTAACAAACTGGAGAAGAGAGTTCTCTAGCAGAATATCAAGGAGGAGTTGGTGGATGCTAGTGCGATTGCTGTTTTTAACAATGCACTCCTTCCAATCGATATCTGGTAGGTTAAAGTCCCCGCCGATTATAATATTTGGATGATTGCGTCGGTGTCTAGACATCAATGTGGCAATTGAGTTGCGTAGTTCTTCAAGTCCTTGTTCTCGGCTAGAAGGAGGGCTGTAATAGCTTGCAATGAAGAGAGGCTTGGCATTTGTGAATTGGAGGTGACACCATACTAGCTTGCAGTCTGTGGTGATCGATCAGAGCCTGAAATTGAGACTGTTTCGTAAAGCTCTTGAGGCCATTGCAGTTAATTATGACTGCTTTCAATGCCTCCCTTCTTTTTTTCCTTGGTGAAGAGAACTGTAGGGGTGGTGCCTTGTCAGTGGGAGTGGAGGCTTGAGGACCACTTGCAACATCTACCTCGCTTGCATCGTCATGGAGAGCTGAGTAGCGGTTAGGACTAGTAAAGTCAGCATCCAGAAGGGAAGATGAAAATTCTGCATTGATGCTGTTACACTTACAGCATATCCACAAAAATCTGCTAAAACGGGTGAGAACACTGTACGAAGAAGCCGAGATGCCTACACATGAGATGTGACACCAGGCATCACAATTGTCACACAATATTGCTTTATCATTGACAGAGACATCAGACTTGCAGATAGCGCATGTAGGAGTGTCCGGACCTGGGTTGGGCTCAACTTGCCCACTGAGAAGTAGTAAGATGGCCAGGTGGCTGGTGGAACGAATGTTGAGGACACATGAAGAGTTACTGCGCTTCTGCTGGAATCTGAGGAAAAGGCAGAGGCTGCGTACACCTGCATCACTAAAATCACAAGAGCTGTAGTTAGGCAATATCAAAAGATGTTCCTGCTGATCCGGAAATCGTGTAGCACTTTCTTCAATGACGTATGTCTTCACAAGCACGTGCATAGAAGACATAAGGACAAGTAAGCTGATGAAGAGGTGATGTTCCTGCATGATGTAGGAAGCTAGGTTTCAGAGACAAACAGCTCGATTTTGATGGACTATAGATTGGTGCAAATTTCGATAAAATGCTAGAGACTATAAAACAGGATAACTGAGAAAAAGCTGGTTTTGTCTCACTTGAATTGAATTGAATTTGTGAGTGTAGCTTTTACAAAGTCCAGCAAAAATAACTGGAGAATAACTGGAAATAAAATAACTGGATTAGTCTTACTTTATCTTGGATGGTTAGGAAATCTAGATGCTTGCAATAAAATATCCACAGATCATGATGAGTGATAAGGAAAAGTTGACTAGAAGACTGAGTTGATGTGTGTGTCGTTGTTATTAAGTCCAGCAAGAATCTAAATGCATGCGACCACACTGTAGAACTTGTGCTGGGCCCCCTAGACCAAGCTTGAAAACTGATGAAAATATCACTTGAAGTAGGGTGTTACATGAAGATCAAAATGGTCTGGAAGGATCTAGAAGGCTGTTTGAAGATGATGATAGGGCGCACATGGCAAATAACTTAAAGATTATATTAAAAAGTGAGATTTAATTTGGTAATGACAGGAGTACATGCACATGCACCACACTATGCCAACACTATGTTATGGTATCAGATTAAACGTTCCACGCACGGACCGAACACACTTCCCCCGATCGTACCCAACTAATGTTCAACAAAATTGTAAATGGAGAATATAAACCAAAGGTATCTACATTAACTAGTCTATACCCCATTTTTTTTTTTAAAGAGAAGTACAGAATGTAATCCACATAAATAATATCACAGATATTATAGATACAGATTTATGCAAGAGCAGTAGAGGAAGTAAAATGTAAAGAAAAATTAGTTACACCTAGTGATAATGATGACAATAATTATGAATATAACAAGAAATTGAGGGAGGAAAATATATACACATTACGAAACAAATAAAGTGACGAAATAATAATTTAATGAGGAAAAAAGTTTGAGAAATGAATAACAATATTGAGTTGAGTTACACCCCTTATGTGAACAATAGGTTCTAGGACACCTACCCCTGGACATCCACCCCCCGGATAACCACCCTCAGTCAACTACCCCCTAGGGCAACTACCCCTTAGGGCAACCACCCTCTAGGAAGACTACCCTCGGGACAACTACCCCCGGACAACTACCCCCAGTCAACTACCCCCAGACAACTACCCCTTGGACAACTACACACTAGGACAACTACCCCCTAGGACAACTACCCCCTAGGGCAACCATCCCTTAGGGCATCCAACCCTTAGGACGACTGCCGCCTTGGACAACCTTCCCACGGATAAGTACCCCCGGACAACTACCCCCGGACAACTACCCCCAGACAACTACCCCCTACGACAACCATCCTCCAGGACAACTACTCCCGGACAACTATCCTAGGGGTAGTTGTCCGGGGTAGTTGTCCTAGGGGGTAGTTGACTGGGGGTGGTTATCCGGGGGTGGATGTCCCTGGGGTAGGTGTCCGGATACGGAACGGATGACATTGCATTGTTCCATTGTACTCTATGTCTCTGTCTCGATTTCTATTATAAACCATTATATTTAACCATTTTTGGACAATCACAAATACATAATCATATCAATATTACCATCATGGAATACCTATTTGAGAATCATGCCAAATACAGGAGATATAAAATATTGATAGGAAATCCAAAGGACACTCATATATTCGCATTTCTCTCATTTCAAGTCTCAGAGTACAGCATTTTGTCAACACCAGTCATCATGCACTATAATATCTAGGGTAAGTTTGACGTCATCCCTTGAGCTTACATCGTATTCTACGCTGTGACTCCAAATTACAAATGTATTTGAAAGTAAAACAATATATTCTTCTTTTTCTTCGACTTCTACTTTTCATAGTAAATTACATCCACAAAGGCAGACCGAGAGGTGACATAAACCTAAGAAATACGTTTTGAATATATTCATATTTAAAGTAGAACCGAATTACCCTGATAGGCTGTTATTTATCCAGGTGTATACACCGTCTCCATCCAAGTCATTCAGGCCAATCCAGTAGTTATTTCCTTCGTGATCAGCAGTTTTCAGTGTAAACGTGTTCAGAAACGCCTTTCAAAATGGACGAAAACGTTAGCGATCGAAATGGTTAGACAAATAAACGTATTTGAAAATACAAGTACATTGAATATTACTATTCATGAGACACGCATGGCGATGCCATTGTGGCCTCCATTACTGTGCAACTCTTGGCTTTATGATTGGGGTTTGTAGTCAATGTCTCAAATTTAACCTCATATCGTTGACAAATTTTATGAAACAAAAACATGTAACTTTTTTTTGTATCTTGTGCTTAAGGGATATGCATTGCACTCGGTAAAGTCTAAAGGAGTATCATCAGGAAAATGAACTCGACAACTCTCGCTCGTTATCTGATTGTGAATTTTATATCATATTTCTCAGTTCGTAATTACATGAGATCCCGTCGCGCATGCGCAGTCAATTCGCCGCGCAAATGGTTTTTACCGGGAAAGAAACTTTCCCTCAGCAGTCAAAATACCTTTTTTCCGCGTTTTTTCGGACCAGTGGTTTCGAAAAAATACTTCAATAGGGAGAGAAACTCTCGTTTTTAATGTTTTTGGAAGACTTTTGAGAATTTGTGCTGTTTTTATATCAACAATCGAAGTTTTGCTCCGATTTCCACTTACACGATGGCGTCTCCGTCAAGCAGCAACGACAGGACCAAGCTGCAGAAAACCAGCGGAACGCTGAGCATGGCTAAAGCCGGAACTTCACCAGGCGAAACCGCCGCGGGCCCCTCTACGAAGCCTGAGCCAAAGCGCTCATCGGCAGTGAAATCCTCCGATACGAAACGCAAAAGTGTCTTGGCAAAGCCTGCCCCGAATGAGTCTAAGAACTCTGGGCCTAAAAAGAAAGGGCAAAAAGCCTGAAGAAAAGGAGGACGTCACGGATTTACGAGGAAGACTTGACAAATTGGCAAAACTCGCCCCACCGGGGATACACCACCGACAGCATGTACAGCTGCGGCGAACGTGAAATTTCTTGAAGTTGAACAACATGATGATGATTTTGAGCATATTGACGCTGGAAACATGGGCCAATGCCCTGCGTCATATGACATTGGCAGCATGGATGAGGGTGATGTCAACGAAACTGTTGCACCAGGTTTAGACCAGGAAAATGAGGACAAAGTTCCTGCCCTGGCTCAGAAATTTGCTATCCCCACTGGGGTAGGTGGTGCGATCCACGATGATTTAGCAAAGTCCGCCATGTACCTCATGTCCCACCAGCTAGAGGAAAATGTGTTGGAGGAAGCTGGAGGGAAATACCCTCCTCCAAGCAATTGTACTCCACTGTGTTGCCCCAAAGTGAATGCAGCAATATTGGAAAACCTATCCTCGCACACAAGAAGCCGTGATTTGAAACTGCAAAGAATCCAAAAGCCTTTGACAAGGGGACTCACAGCTTTTATTCAAACTCTGTCCCCCGATAGCCTATCGGAGACACAACAGGATGCATTGGCATTGCTGTGTAACGCAAACTTTGAAATCAACTGCTTACGCAAAGGACAGATTAAGCCAGACTTAAAAGCCAAGTACTCACATCTATGCAAACCTGCCACACCAGTGAGTCAGTACTTATTTGGCGATGACTTAACAAAGAGAGTCAAAGATCTTACAGAACAACAAAAAGCTGCATCTGGCGTGGTGCGTTGACAACGTACACCCCGCCCCCAGTACCATCCGTACAGGACGCAAGCGTCCAGCACTTTTCAATACCGCAGACAAGGATAGAACCGTGCCACCGGCACATCACAAACTTTTCCAAGTAGCAGGCCCGCAAGTGGGAACTACGACAGGCTTTTTTTAGGCCAGCGAACCCAACGAGGCAGACCATACAGAGCTCCGCCTCACACCCAGACGATGAGCATGGGGAAACAGACCCAATCCTTCCAGCGGCCACAGGCAGCAAGGAGGAAATAGCTACACCATTACCCAAAGAGGTAAGTAGCACATATGAATGTTTTGAGAATGTTAAGATTAATGCTCCTTCTACTTCTTGTACATTACAACAAGAATGCATCTCAAATGTGCCTGTTGGAGGTCGATTGATATATTTCTATCGTAGATGGCGTGAATTAACGTCAGATCTTTTTCTGCTATCAGCAGTACGAGGCTATGATATCGAATTTGATCATTCGAAAGGGGTTCCCTCAAGAAATAAGCCCCTCTATGGTTACAAAAAGAGCCCTTCAGAAATGAATCAGATTACTAAAGAAATCTTGGCTCTACAAGCAAAAAACGTAATAGAACCTTGCTCATTTGAAGAGGGAGAATTCATCTCAAACATCTTCACGAGACCTAATAAAGATGGGGGTACTCGTATGATCTTAGACTCATCAGAGCTTAATCAAAGTTTGAACATACAACACTTCAAGATGGATAACATCCACACTGCCAAGCACTTGATTATTCCGCACTGTTATCTTGCATCAATCGACCTCCAAGATGCTTATTACTCCATTCCAGTATACCCCCATAGTAGAAAATACTTGAGGTTCATGTGGCAGGGTGAGCGCTGGCAATTTGCAGCCCAAGACTGTTCACAAAATTGCTGAAGCCAGTCTTTGCCGAACTGCGACAAGCAGGTCATACAGTCATAGGATATTTGGACGACACCATAATTATTGGTGAGACAAAAGAAAAGCTTAAAGAGAGTGTGAGTGCAACAACCAAGATTCTCTCAGAATTAGGTTACATCATTCACACTAAAAAATCAGTGCTCATCCCAACACGTGAACGAGCCTTTCTTGGCTTCATTCTTAACACTGAGAGTATGACTGTTAGATTGCCTCAAGCAAAGGCACAAGAAGTGAAAGATATATGCCGTGAATTAATGGGCTCGTTCCTCCCATCAATACGAATGGTAGCACAGGTGATTGGGAAGGTCATAGCAACTTTCCCGGCTGTTGAGTATGGCCCCTTATACTACAGATCTATGGAAAGGGACAAAATGGCAGCCCTCAGACAAAACAGGGGTCATTTTGACAGAAAGATGAAGTTGTCCCTTGAGGCCAAAGAGGAGTTAAAGTGGTGGATGAAAAATGTTTCTATGGCCTCCTCCCCAATTGTTAGGAAAAACCTGAATTAGAATTGCACACAGATGCCAGTGGCCTTGGATTGGGAGCTACTGACCTCCAGAAGCAAACAGGGGGTCGTTGGAATGAATTTCAGGCAGAAAGGGCAAGAAACAATGAAATAAATTTCCTGGAAACCCTAGCTGTTGCGTTGGGGATAAAATCCTTTTGCATGAATAAGCGTAACGTGCATGTGATGGTAAGAATAGATAATACCACTGCAGTGGCTTATTTAAATCACATGGGAGGTTGTAAGTCAGCAATGTGTGACAAGATGACAAGAGAAATTTGGCAATGGTGCACTTCTCGTAATATTTGGCTCACTGCAGCCCATGTACCTGGTCGACTCAATTCCATAGCAGATGAAAGATCCAGGAAATTTAATGATCGAACAGAATGGAAACTAAACAGACAAGTGTTCGACAGAATAGTTTCCCACTTTGGTGTACCAGAAAAAGACCTGTTTGACTCAAGACTAAATGCTCAAGTAGAGAAATACGTCACTTGCCACCCAGACACTGGGGCTTTTGCAATTGCCGCATTTACGCTAGATTGGAAACCTTTTGCATTCTATGCATTCCCATGCACCGTTCTGTATGATCCCCAAATGCTTGCAAAAAATCAGAGAGGATAAAGCTAGAGGGTTACTTCTGGTCCCTAATTGGCCCACTCAGGCGTGGTTCCCTCAGTTGGTTAGCATGATGGAAGGAGAGCCATTGTTTATCCAGAGGCAAGAAGATTTGCTACTTCTTCCTGTGTTAAACACCACCCACCCTCTTAATGCTAATATTGACCTCTAATATGTTGCAGGTTATGCGGCAACACTTTGAGAATCGGGGACTAAGCAGAAGAACAGTGGATATCATTACAGCTTCATGGAGAGCATCAACCTGCAAGCAGTACCAAGTTTACATCACACAGTGGCGAAGATTTTGCCACAGCCGGAATACGAGTTACCTCCAAGCCGAGGTGGAAACGGTACTAGAATTCCTTAGTAGTTTATTCCATGACAGGAACCTTAGCTACAGTGCGATCAATACAGCTCGTAGCGCTTTATCCACTTTTCTGATTCTCGTTGACAGTAATCAGACAGTAAGTACTCACCCTCTTATAACCAGACTGATGAGAGGTGTTTTTCAACTCAGACCTGTCTTACCTAGATTTACAGAAATATGGAATATAAGTCCACAGTCCTCAATTTTCTAAGAAAATTGAGGACTGTTTTAACACTCAAAGTATGTATGCTAATGGCTCTTGTATCGGCATAGAAAGTGCAAACCTTGCATATATTGAAGACTAACAAGATGACCCTGAAAGGGGGCTTTGTGTTTTTTCAATTGGATGAACACTTGAAGCAAAGCAAACCAGGAAATACCAATTTTAAGTTTAAATTGGAATATCCACCTGATAGAACATTGTGTATTGTAAAATATGTGAAACATTATGTCCAGCGCACAGGACCACTTCGTGGGAATGAGAACTCGTTCTTTGTAAGATACACCAGACCTCATAATAGAGTAACAACTCAAACCTTATCTCGCTGGATCAAGACCTGCTTGCAAAGAGCACGTGTGGATATAAACGTTTATAAGGCTCATTCAACGCGGGCAGCATCAACTTCAGCAGCTGCCAAGGCAGCACTTCCAATGGACCAGATCCTAGCCCGAGCAGGATGGTCTTCAGAGAAAATGTTCAGGAAGTTCTACAGGAAACCTTTTGAAAACAAGAGAAACTTTACCCAGGCAGTCTTACAAGATAGCACACTGCTTTAAGAACTGCATCAGAAGGCATTTCGATAGAACTGGCATTAATAGACCAGCTGTCTAATTAATAGAACTGGGATTAAGAAACCAGATGGCTAGAATAAACTAGATACAGAAACAAACAATGTTTTTGCAACATTATGACGACTTATATATGGACGTTTTGTATGTGAAATGTTTTGCCACATGTATGAACAGACTACAATAACTGTCAAATATGGTGAGTCATTGGTTAGAAGCCTTCAATTCAATCTGCATAATCAGTGTTCACTTTTCCGTACATGTTGGTTGTTCCAAATGTGGCTACTATGCTTCAAAATCTCATGTAATTACGAACGGAGAAATATGATATAAAATAGTAAGATTAAACGAGAACTTATCGTTTGAAGTTTGATCTTTATTTTATGAATATTTAGGAGGAAGTTATTACATGCCCTCCTCACACACCCAAACTTCAAACTTAAGTGTAAGTTCCCTGTTCCTTACTACTGAGAGTAGCCACATTTGTAGCTTTGAATATTGACTGCGCATGCGCGACGGAATCTCATGTAATAAATTCCTCCTAAATATTCATAAAATAAAGATCAAACTTCAAACAGTAAGTTCTCGTTTAATCTTACTATTAAGCCTGCTTCCACTATAAACGCACACGAATTGTTTGTATGCAAATGTTACCTTCTGAATCAAAATACTACGGGAATTTTTGCTCCTGCTTTTCGTTGTTGATGTGGTTCGTGTTGTCACCACTGTTATCATCACTAAACTTATAACAATATCATTGCCAACCGATTTATTTTGATGTATTTATTTGATGTTTGAATGTAAATAAACACCCCATTAGAGGCAAAAAAAACACAAAAACCATTGTCAACTGTATCGTTTTTACGACCATGGTTATCAATATTATTTTCTTTATAACGTTTGTTCTAGTTTCTTTAATGAGCTTTATCATTAATCCCGGTCATTAATACTATTGACTATTGTTTTAACTATCATCATAAATAGAAGTTTCATTATCTAATTATCAGCTGTTGGAGTATCTTAATTAACATTTTACTGTTGAAAGTGACTACATACAACTCGTAGTTAACTTTAGAAATATATATATATATATATATATATATAGAAAAACAACCTCTTACGTTTTGTTCGTTTGAAGTGATAACTGCTAGGTCTCCGCCTAATGATCGACAATATATCATAGCATCGCTGTATGTTCTATACACGTTCTCGATAATATACTGGTTGTTACCAAATTCGAACCCATTAGGCGTGTCGCAAATCTGAGCACCTCCTGCATCGAAACAATGATGCAATAAAACTTAAGAAAATATTTTTTCCAGCTATACATTTTATATGACAAGTAAATTTGCAACGGCATTTTGTAACACATGAAGAACAAAAAAAATTGATTACAAATGAACAAAAGTTGATTTCAACCAACTATAGTTGTGGCATTAACAACATAAACATAACATGCTATTGAATTCTGCATTAAACTTGATGAAATATATTTTTTTTACATCAGAAAGATATGATTATCCAGCCGCGAGGTAAATATGTTTATTTGACTTCAACCACTATGAGGAGTACCGTTGTACAGCACTTGCTCCGGCGAAGACTGCTCCTACACTGTTAGAAAAAAATTAAACAAGTTGTTTAAAATTTTAAACAACGACAAGTTAACCGGTGAATCGCTCAACTGTTGTTTAAAAATCAAACAACTTAAGGTTGTTTACGTTTTGAACACTTAGTTGTTTAAAAATTAGAAAAACTTTTAAACAACAGTTGTTTAGTAATAAAATTGCACAACTCGGTTGTTTAAAGCAAGTTGTGTAAATGTTAAACAATAATGTTTAAATTACTAAGCACATATTGCTCCGATTGTCTCATTTTCGCTCGCTCGATCACTGCAGCACAAACATAGCTCGTTCGACGTCACTACCAAACTAGCCAATCAGCTGTCAATGACGTCAAATTGAATGCGGCGGCAAATATATTTTGTGAAATTATCGAGAAATTGACTATTTCTAATTGCAAACTAGTTTTAATTTTGGATGGAAAAGCAGCCATTGTTATCTTGACATTCATTGAAGTCATCAGAATAGGGTAATTTACTTCTCAGATGATTCAAGAGGTCCATTTTGTAGATAATTTTTTAATTTCTTAGAATGTTCCACTGTGTTGCAGGGTACCGGGTGTTATGCCATTGGGTGTGATGTGTTCGCGCGCTATAAGTACAGGCCACCGCGCCGTCGGGTGTATTCTCGTACTGATGTAGGTGCAAAGCTAGAATGGCTACCACGCCCACTTCCCTCTCTATGCCTTTCTGAACATTCCTTTCCTTTTCAATACAATAACTTTCACCTGCCTAAGTTATTCAAACCATACCGCCTCGCCACTTCCATTGCGTAATCATTAAAAGGATCCGCATATACAACATTTTCCTGCTATACGTTGTACTGCAGGAAAATACAAATCTCCCTGGTATACCTTACAGTCCAAACGATAAATATGTGCCTTTAACGAAGCAGGCGACAATCGGCGTAGCAGACGACACTTGATAGTAGTTTTGTATGTGAGATTGCTTCGCTAAATATAAATTACTTTGTTAATAAATATCAACTAATTTTTTTTTTACATTTCTTTAAACCATCATTGATATTTAATAAATCATGAGTGAGTAAAAGAAACATACCAAACTCTATAATTATATGAAATACTTGGTGGTAATTAGGGGAGTTTGACGTGATGACCGATTGCACCCCTCTGTTAATAACCGAATAGTCCATGGTGTGTCATGAATATTCATGTTTTTGCTTACCTCGGCTAAATGTTTGCTTTTACTAAAGTGAAAAATTACGGTGGGGGTTGGATGAAATGGACATAATGAAATAGGCAGAAGTGATCTATGATAATTCATGCTTTTTATGTTTCGTGTGCTCGACCTATAATCTTCAAATCGCTTGGCAAAGTTAGACTTGTTTCACATGTGTATAATAGGCAATGACGAGCTTGCAACCTATTTTGAAAAATTACGGTGGGTGAACTTTCAAAAGTCAATGAGACATGAGGGCTCCAATGAAAGAGCTAGTGATAACGTACGTCAGGGTGGATGTGCTTTTCGTTTAAACAAAAAATGAATTTTAACGATTTTTAAAAAAAACGTCCATAGGGTAACATGTTAGGCTGCTGACTCTGACCATGCTCTGACGATAGGGGGCGTTGTGAAATGAGACTAAACGGAGCAATATGACTGTTGTTTATTCAATATTACTGCACAACTGGGTTGTTTAAAAGGAGTTGCTTAAATTTTTAACAGAGCTGTTTAGTGGTTATTACCTCATTCGTTTAAATTTTTTGAAATGACCTACCGGAACCACTCCTGCAATAATCACAAAGATTACACTGTAACATGTAGAGCTTGTTGCCAATTAACTTCAACATTTGTTCATCATATTCATTTAACAGTGACAGACAATATTATTATTTGTCTCAATAACTTCACCTAAACCCCATCGGCGAAGCCGAAAAGAACCAAGTCGTCGCCTTGCCCTTGTTCCGCCATTTTCATCTGCACTGCACTAGCACTAGCATTGCATGCTGCATGCGCTATGCATATGTACGTACTTTGTGCATATCGCATGTGTGCGCCCAAATTTCAATCGCGTATCGAGAAAATATCAACGCGAAGTCATGATTGGTTAAATCTATCACGTGATTTTTTCCCCGGGACTTTTTAAACAACTCTGCTTAACTAAATCTTTTTGTTTTTCAATACATAGTTGTTTAAGCCAATCGAGAACTGATTTTTCGATTTTGAACAACGTTGTTTACGTTTTTAAACAACATTATTTTAAACAGTGATATTTTAAACACCGTTCTAACTGTGTAATGCCCTACAATAAACGAATTCATAACTTCAACCATGGATCTAATACTGTACTTATAACTCTAAACGTAACCTTAAACCCCATTAACGCCAACCCCATACTTTTGAAAATTAGGCTAAAGCACGACGGATCATTTGTTGGCGGAGCAAATGTTGCACCCAAACATTTTCTCAACCAAGAAGTAATCGCGAGTG